ATGTTTGAAAATGCATTGAACAAATTTTTATATTGGGTCTATTATGTGCATGCGTTTTCAATGTTCAAAATATAAGGATATGTCTCAGCTTCTGGTGCCAATCGTCCAGGCAATAATTTTACTTGGTGGGGTGGCTACAGTTCATCCCTCGTATCTGAGGTGGCCTCCCCACACACACGTGAAATGCCAATGGAGCTTGAGCAATTTTTGCACTTTGTCCCATGTATACGTGAGATTCGAACTTAAAACCCTGTCTTGTACCATATTCTGTTTGAGTAGGCGTATGAATAAATACCATGTTCAAAATCGATGTATGTGTATAGACGTGTATCTACATACTAACATTTTTAGGATGTTATGGGCTAGGTGAATTTTATCAGTTAAAAAAAGCGGGTGGTTTTACCTCGTTTCGAAGCCAGATTATTGTCTTTAAGTTCACTTTTTAAATAAACGAATCCAATTACTTCATCATTTTAAATTTACCCTTAGCATATAGTCCTCTCTTGTTTCATTGGAATTATTACTAATACCTGGGGTGTATATAAGAGAACTCGGCAAGATACTAACAAGGAGAACGGACAAAATTGTTTAATAATATCATTTCTTTCACGCGTGATGACGCGTTTACTTTTGTGTTTGTTTTTGTGTTTACTTCTGTGTGTTTTATCGTTTATTCAAACGCGAAATTTTTATAATAAATACATACTCCTTAAAGTTTTAACATACAGGACAAAAAGCATGCTAAAATATTTTTAAATCAAAAGAGAAGGCATTTTATACTAAATGACTATCCATAAACAAAAAGCTACTGTTTCCCTGCTATATATATTTGTATGAAAGACTCCCAGGGATTATGCGTAGAAATTTTCGAGCAGTTAAACTTCCAGAATGAACATTTTAATAGAAATGTTAATTGTATTTTAAACACTTTCATTTAACTCTGAAAATGTAACACTGAAATCCGAAGGTAAATTGGAATAGTGAAAGATGCCTTCCAAAAGCTAAGCAAAGAATTAAGGAGGGGGAAAAATACTGCTATGAAACAGCAATCCTCCTATATTGCAGTGAATGCTGGACAATTTACTCACAGATGGTGAAGAGACTTGAGCCAACAGAGATGGGGGTCTATAGAAGGGAGCTAAGAATTCCATGGACGGAACATGTGACAATGAAGAAGTTTTAATGAAAAGAGAAACAAAAAGGATACTTATATTTAAAATCAGAAAGGGTAATGAGTACACTAGCTAACGAGTTTATGCAAATAGATGACAGAACAGTAACTGCAAGGCAGAATAAGGGAACAAGCATTGATTATAGCTACAAAGGAAAAGAAGTTCTGGAGAGAAATGATCGCCCACGTCCTGAAGGGACACGGCACATAACAAAAGAAGATTTAGTTTACCTGTTCGTTTTCTCCAATCAATAACAGCGGATTTAATTTCCTTTCATTTTCAAAAGTTTTAAATTTGACGAATTATTTCAAAACCGCCGTATGCAGCTAACGTAAAAGGAGAACGTTAAATCATGTTCAAATTCTGGCCGAGGCTTTTACGTGCCCTTTGGGAAGATGTAACTCTATCTCTTCTCCCGCTCCTCAGTTATGTTAAATATCAAGGTAGATTGAGTGCTCTAACTTTAGATGGCAACCAATCTAGAAGAAGGTCTACACTGAATTCAAAACCTTAGATAAAACAACTAGAAACCACTTCACTTTAATTCCCAAGAAGTTAAAGTAATTCGGTGATGGTGGAAAGAAAAATGATCGCCTACGTCCCGAAGGAATATGTTATTTTAAAAAATCTAGTACTTTAACTCAGTCTATGTTCAATTATATACGAGGTTACTTAGAGAATTTTAGGGCACAATACAGCTGTACTCTCAACATGTGACAAAATTTAACAAGCTAGTCTCACAAACCATAGCTACCCAATTGAACCATCTAGAACCCCATTAGGGTCAAAATGCAGTATAACGTGTTCAGACGTACTTAAAAGCAGTACACATCCACAGAGAAGGACCAGGGTTAATTCCTGGGGCTTAAGACGTTCTCAAAGGGGAAATATCAAGGTGGGGCTGAGCAATTGTTATCCCTATATATGCATGAGCCACCCATTTTAAAATCAGCCTTTTACCACACTTCGTTCGAGTGAGGGTGCGGATAAATACCTACTTCTCTGGAGAGTTCGATTCTCCCAAAGGGGACTCACAATTGTAGTTTTATGTCAGATTGAGTTCATTTTAGTAAATAATGGCCTGTTCATCATGGAGCAGGGGTTAGCGAGCTAGTTTTTCACTACAAGGTCTTGTGCTATACTAAGCTTACTTTGGTAAGCAATATATTTGTTTAAATATTGATATTTATAATTGAAAGTTGCGTGTGGTTTAATATGCTTTGTTGTATGTGTGTGTGTTCGGCGTAGTTGTCTTGCAAACATTCATTTAAAAAAAAAAGGATCTACTGATAGTCTTTTTACAATCACTTTCTGTCTGTGCTGTGTGTATGTGTGTTCTTTAGTTAACATCAGAAACATCACAGCCAATAGACTTTTAAAGATAACTAATTATTGACATCGTTAAAGACAGCCGCGGTAGCAACGAGAGCAGCGATGAGTGTCGGTCACATGTAAACAATCCACATCCACGCATGTGGCTTGGTAGTAACAGATATATGACGTCACGCTGTCTATTTCAGCGAGGCTGCTCATTGGTTGGTTTAGCGCGTTTCTCTTCGTCTCGCTCATATTGGAACTACGCACAGCAGTGAGCGCATCGTCGTCCAACTCGCTCCACAATTTACTTGCCAATTCTTCGATTTGCCGCAGAAAACGGCGAATTTGACTTGTAATCTTCTTACATCTGATTCTACTTCTACCGCCTTTATTACTACGGCGCCTAAGAATATAATTATTTCTACGTGACATAATAAATATTTACACTTACAAGGAAAAGACATGGGCAAGATACAGCGACCACAAC